AGCCGTCATTGTTGTTTTGGCGGGTCCGGGCTGGGGATTCAAACCCGCCACCTTAGGTGTACGTGGCTGGTGCCTTAGCCTTTTGAGCTATAGGTGCCGAGCCAGGGAGCTGACTTTTGAACTCATGCATATTATTTGTTTTACTAGAGACCAGGAGGACCCAGCAATGTCCTACGAGATGCATGTCTGGTTGCTAATATTTTGGAACCCAGAATCAAACAGGAAATCATCAAAAAGTTTATTAAACAGCATCTGTCAGAGTATCTAGTACTTTTTCAAGAAAACCAAGATGTAAGTATTGACCAAATGAGATCAGATGTAACACTGGAATCTTGTTGAAAAATGAATGTTGTCAAGCCCACTGATTTATACTTGATGTAGCTTCACTGACTTGTGCTGACTTACAGTATCGATTGTTGAACAGTGAATCCTAGGGACTAACTTCACAGTTCAGTGGTTCTCAATCATTTTGAAATCAGTGATCCTTTGGAGAAATTAATGAAAGCTACAGATCTTCTCCCCAGAAAAATGCACCTATATATAAAACTGTGCATAGTTTCTGGAAATTTACAGAACCCTGAAGTCTAATTATGTACCCCAGGTTGAAACCTCTGGATCAAGTAAAAAACATAGTTTAGATTGTTTAAAACCTTAAGCAATACAGAGATTGGTTGTCTTTTTCTTAGTTCTGCATTTTTACTTGTTTTCTTAAACTGTTAATACTACTTAAGCACTGGGGTGATTTTTGTTCCCTGCCTTCATGAGGTTGCCTGGCTAGACAAAATCGACAGACGCTATGCCTGGATAAAACGCCAGCTTGTGGACTATGAGGAGAAATACGGCCGTATGTTTCCACGTGAGTGGTACATGACGGAGAGGATTGCAGTGGAGTTTTGCCATGTGACAAGGTAGATTCCAGCTCCCTACTTATTCTGGTGTCTAGGAAATTTTTAAAATGAATCCCCCCCCCGCCAGTCTCTTGTGGTTCCATGTTGTCCTGTGGGCTGGGTACCACTTTTAGACTCCACCAAATGATTGATACCACCCTCTAGTCTCAAATGGGCTGCCTTCTCTACTTTTCCATCCAGCCCAAGACTCATCTACCAGAGTTAGCTATAGCGAGTCATCCCCTGCACCTTTCCCCACATCTGTATCACATATACCAGCGTGCTGTATATATATATCCACCATCATTTTGATTTTCTGACTTACTGTGATAGATGGGTAGTTCCAAAGAGACAGGAGTAGTAGCTACTTTAATGACATAGCAGACACTGAGGAAATATTTGTTGAATGAATTTCCCACCCCTAATACAGTGTTTATAGTCTCTGTGTAGCTAATAATAAAAGTATCTGAGTGTTCTAACCACTTTGAAGACCTTCCCTCATTCATCCTCTCTACAGTATCCATGAGTGTAGCCCAGGGCCAGAGAATCCTTTACTGAAAAATTAAAGCCCCAAAAGATGAGTTCAGTGTATCTACAACAAAGCTAAGGCTAGTGCCAAACTTTATATATTTCTCAGTTGCAACAATACTGCAACAGTGTTGGTAACTGGTTCTTATTAGTTGTATATTCCCTTTTAGTAGTACACAATTACATTTAACTCTGGGTTAATAAGAAGGGGGAAAAGGCCTGTATGTGAGCACCACTCAACTACATTAGCATGATTCACGGTGGCCATCTTTCTTAAAATCACAGAAAGTACAGGCACATCTCATGCTTTAAATACATTCTTGGGGAAAAAAAATAATTTGAGAGATATTGACTATTTTTTGATTAAGTTTTAGGTTCGCAGCAGAGTTGAGCAGAAGGCATCTCTTCCCCTGCACATGCCCGGATTCCCCCTTTGTCAGCATCTTCCTCCAGAGTGATACTTTTGTTATAGTCAATGAGCCTGCCTTGCACATCATTGTCACCTAAAGCCTGTATTTTATTTTAAGATTCACTCTTGGTGTTGTATACTCTTATGTGGCTATTTTGTTATTGTTGTTTAATTTTTTTTTTCAGAGATGTGGGGGGTCTTGCTATGTTGCCCAGGTTGGACTCAAAACTCCTGGCCTCAGCAACCCTCCTGCTTCTGGCTCCATTCCAGGTGGCCACTGTTTTAAGAAACACATTTGTTAACATAGATTCAGATAGTTTTTTGATATTAATTTAAAGTCAGCTGGGCTCACTGGCTCATGCCTATAATCCTAGCACTTGGGAGGCCAAGGCAGGTAGATTGCTGGAGCTCACAGGTTCAAGACCAGCCTGAGCCAGAGTGAGACCTGGTCATGAAAAATAGCCAGGCATTGCAGTGGGTACCTGTAGTCCCAGCTACTGGGAGGCTGAGGCAAGAGAATCACTTAAGCCCAAGAGTTGGAGGTTGCTATGAGCTATGACGCCACAGTACTCTATCTAAGATAACAGCTTGATACTGTCTTAAAAATAAAATAAAATAAAAAATAAATAAACAAAGTCAGTTGTTGTCATCTTCTAAATCCTGATGAGCAAAGAAAGAGTGAATTCCTTCAGAAGTTATTAACCAATCCCCTGTAGCCTATAGTTCAGCAGACTTTCAAACTACACTCTGTGAAAAATGAAGCCTGCAGGAGGCTGGAAGTTACTAAAGCCAACAAGTCTCTGCGAGCGTCAGTACCTGCCATTGTTGTTTCAGCTAATGGCAGTGCTGCTGCCAAGCTTTTACTGTTAGAATTTTGGCTAATCCTACAGATACATCATTCTCAAATAAACTCAGAGGCCATTTGTTTGATTTTGTCATTTATTTGTGTGGAAGATAATTATAGCTTAGTGCTTACTAACAACTCTCCGTATCCTGAAACACAATATTTGATGGAGTTGCACTTAAACTTTATCAGCAGGGACAACCTAAGCATATAGGTGTCTCTTTTTACATGGGAATTCCCGTCTCTCACATGTATTTCCAGGGTCCCTGCTTGTTCATGGAAGAGATGGTTATTGAACTCTCTAGACGAGGGAGGACTTTTTAATTCAATAATTAATGACTTATGCAATTATATGGTATATATATTTTAGACTTTTTTTTTATTGTTGGACTCATTGAAGGTATAAAGACCTTCAAGGTTATGCTGCTTGCATTTGTTAGGTATATAATATATATGTTTTAATAAAATAACAAGCAAATATATATTATTAACAGATTATTGAAAGGTTTAAAGATATAAAAATAGTTGTAACCAGGTAAAGAAATAAGTGTCTGTAATCCTTGAAGTTTTTGACTGGCAGATAATTTTGCCTTGGAATTCTTTTTCAGAACATGTGTTTCTATTCCCTAAGTGTTAGACTAAGCAGGTAATAGACCACAGGGTTGGAAATGACCACAGACGTTTTGTGTGTGTGTGTGTGTGTGTGTGTGTGTGTGTGAATGTAAGCCAAAGCCATTTACTTTGTTTTACCTTGAATAAATGGTCATTTTGACAATATTTTTATCTCTTTGTTTTAAAGGACAGAACTTGCCAAGATTATGCGTACCAGAGCTAAGGAAATTGAGGTGAAATTGCTTCTTTTTGCTATTCAGAGAACAACTAACTTTGAGGGGTTTCTTGCAAAACGCTTCTCTGGCTGTACCCTGACAGATGGAACCCTGGTAAGACCTTCCCAAGGGAGTATGGACCATGAAGTCACTGGGTTGGGTTGCTGGGTTTCACCTCCATTTCACTGTGTGGTGATTCTGTCTATTGGCTTAAGTGCTTAATTCCCGCATTCCAGTGATTTTGCTGAATTAATGTGAAAGTGCTCTGTGTGGATTTACTGTGTTTTTACCACAGTAAAACCACAGTGCTTTGTGGTTATAGAATGTCCCATAATCATTTTATCTAAGTATTGATCCCATTTTACAGACTACTCACTCATCTGTGAGTCATAGAAGCCTCATGTATTTGGTCATAAATACATTATTACTTGACAGTTATCAAATTTTATTGCAATTTGGATATGTTTTTACTCTAGGGTTTGCCTTTTAACATCTCTGGTCAGCAGACTAGGTCATTGTGTCTCTGTAAACCTCAGAGCTGGGTAAAGAGGTCTGGGGATTGTGTACCTCCCCTAGGAAGGTAAAATGTAATATTGCTGGTTAAAAACATTCCATCTCTGTGGAAACAAAGACCAGGTCCAGCTGGGCACAGTGACATGCACCTTGTAGTCCCAGCTCTTTGAGAGGCCAAGGCAGGAAAATTGCTTGACCCCAGGAGTTTGAATCCAGCTGGGGCAACATAGTGAGATTCCCCCATTTCTTTTTTATTTTTATTTTTTTTAAATTTCAGGTTAATATGAAGGTATAAACAGCCAGGTCACAATATTTAATATTTGAATTTGTTAGGCAAAATGCCTCTTGTAGTTGTGTCCTACACCCAAAAGAGACCGTATTTCTTTAAAAGAAAAAAAAAAAAAAGACTTCTTTTGGAGGCCCAGGATCCCTGCCAACACATCACTGTGCTTTCTTCAGATTGCCTGTCCATGGAGAAGCCAAATTTCTGTGTTTTATAGTAATTTCTGTTTACAGTGTACATACACATGGCTTTTGAGCTCCTGTATTTTGTGAATACAGGAATCACAGCTGACTCATCTCTGTCCCCTAGTCATGCGAAGAATACACATAATTCATGCCAACAGCAATGGAGAGGGAAAGAAAAAAAGGAGAAAGGGAAGAAGAAGTCAAAGTTGAGAGAATCATACCACTTTAATTTTCTTAAAAGCTGATTTTGGGGGGTGAGGTACCATATCTCATCCCTGTAATTCTAGCATTCTGGAAGGCCAAGCCAGGAGGATCCCTTGAAATCAGGAGTTTAAGACCAGCCTAAGCAAAGAAGACCCTATCTCTACTAAAAATAGAAAAATTAGCTGGGCATTGTGGCAGGCATCTGTAATTCCAGCTACTCTAGAGGCTTCAGCAGGAAGATCACTTAAACCCTGGAGTTTGAGGTTGCTGTGAGCTAAGCTTTGGCCATGGGACTCTACCCCAGGTGACAGAGTTGAGACTATGTCTCAACAAAAAAAGGCGGGGGGTGGGGGAAGTTGGCTAGGTACAATGGCTCATGCCTATAATCTTAGCACTCTGGGAGGCCAAAGTAGGAGGGTTGCTTAAGCTCAGATGTTCTAGACTAGCCTGAGCAAAAGGGAGACCCTATCTCTGCTAAGCAGAAAAATTAGCTCGATGTCTTGGTGGTATGCACCTGTGGTCTCAGGTACTTGGGAGGCTGGGGTAGGAAGATCGCTTGAGCCCAGGATTTTGAGGTTGCAATGAGATATGATCACACCATTGTACTCTACCCAGGGTGACAGAATCAGTTATTAAACTGCTGTTAACAACAGAGAAGCAATGGGATTTAGTAGCAAAATTCTTGGGCCAGCCATGAGGCGAGATTTGTGGGCTAGTACTGACTCTGCTATAGATTATGAATTGCCCTCTCTGTTAAATGGGAAGAGTAGACTGCCTTGTATTAAAGGGGAATAAATAAGACATAAAACGCAGAAGTAGTAATGGAAAGTACTGAAAGGTTTGACAGCATAAAAATAACAAAATTTTGTTTGGCAAAAGAAAGCATAAACACAATTAATGGATAAAAAGATAATTTTAAGTTCTATAACACAAATAATATGTAGCACATGTAAAGGATTTCTAAAAATCAATTAAGAAAGATAAGTAATCCATTAGAAGAATGAGTAGGAGGTTAAACAGACAATTTAGTGAAGAAATTTAGTTAGTTAGTAAATATGATGGGGAGGGGAGGGGACAGGATATTATGTTTCTGACATCAGAATTAGTAAGAAAATTACAGGGTTAACAACACAGGATTTCACTGTTACAACTTTTATAAAGAATAAATCCTCGGTGCCTGTAGCTCAGGGGCTAGCGTGCCAGCCACATACACCAGAGCTGGCAGGTTTAAATCCAGCCCGGGCCTGTCAAACAACAATGACAACTACAACCAAAAAAAATAGCCAGGTGTTGTGGCCAGTGCCTGTAGTCCCAGCTACTTGGGAGGCTGAGGCAAGAAAATCACTTAAGCCCGAGAGTTTGAGGTTGCTGTGAGCTGTGATGCCACAGCACTCTACCCAGGGCAACAGCTTGAGACTCTGTCTAAAAAAAAAAAAGAATAAGTCATCATTATCTATCAGAAATTAAATGTGCATGTCCTGTGAGGCAGCAATTTCACATTTAAACAAGAAGTCTACTAAAACATCCACACATGGTGAGGAAGATGTACAAAGGAAGAGGTGAACTGCTGCCTTAAAATAAAAAAGTCAGGGTATTTGTATAGTGTATAATTCTGATATCATTGAAGAATGGTTAAATAAATCACGGTATATCGGTTCTCAACCTGTGGGTCGTGACCCCTTTGTAACCATAAAAATATATTGCAGCATTAGGAAGGTTGAGAACCACAGCATTAGAAGGAATCCTTTTTTTTTTTTTTTAAACTGAGTCTCACTCTGTTGCTCCAGGCTAGAGTGCCATAGGGTCATAGTTCACAGCAACCTTAAAATCCTGGGCTCAAGTGATTCTCTTGCCTCACTCTCCTGAGCAGCTGGGACTACAGACTCCATGTCTGGCTAATTTTTATATTTTTAGTAGTAATGGGGTCTCACTCTTAAGCTGATCTCAAACTCCTGAGCTTAAGTGAACCACCCACCTCAGCCTCCCAGAGTGCTAGGATTACAGGTGTGAGCCAACACGCCTGGCTTATGCTATGGAATACTTTATACCGTTAAAAAAAGTAGTAAAATGTGGACAGATTTTAGATGTGCTAATAGGGGAAAAAGACTCTCAGATATATTGTGAAGTATAAAATATAAGTTACAGCCCGGTATATATAGTATGAGTCTACTTATGTAAAAAAGCAAAAAATGTGTTTATATATGTGAATGTGTAACTAAAAGGTCTGGAAATGATGCCAGTGGTTGTCTCTGGGGAAAGAAGTTGGAGTGAGAGTAGGTGGAGAAGCACAGGAATGTTTTTTCATTTTTTCCCTTTTACTCTGGTATTCTTTTTGGAAATTATCTTACACAAATACATTTAAGTTCTTTTTGTGTACTTCAGCAAGTTATTTTTCAGTTGTTTTAAAATGAAGGAGATGGGCCAAGTCCTGTGATTTCCAAACTCTTCTAACAACACCTAATGTGGAATCCAAACACAACAATAGCTAGCCTTTTTTGAGTGTCCACTGGGTGTCCCCTTGTTGTGCTAGATGCCTGTACCTGCAGGCAATCACTTTGTTTCATCAGCTGTAGGAGGTAAGTGGCAGGTGTGTACTTACTTACTGTGACCTGAGGCCACAGAGCTAATACCTAAAACATAATAACTTTGTCACTCTGCACCTGGAGTCCCACTCACTTGCTCAACTGTCACCTCTGCCGCCTGTTCTGGTTCCCATCTTTCTGGTCCTAAAATCCTGGGACTTCAGTGGAATCTCCTCTGTGCCCCACAAGATCTGCCTCAGAGTAGGTGACTCAGGCTGGTCCCTCAGAACACTGGCCTGAGGAATGGTGGCAGCAGCAGCAGCTGAGTTTTCAGGCAAGACCACAAAGCCCTGCCTCCTCAGGCTCACTTATGACTTTATCCAAATAAAATTCAACTGGAACCATAAAATACTCTTTGCATACTTGGCAAATTAAAAATACACACTTCTCTGTCCTTGCTAACTTGTGTTGAAAATTAATCCCTTTTTTAGTAACAAGGGAAAAAGAAATAGGCCACAAGATGGATGAAAATTCCCGTAAAGAAAATGCAAGTCAGTAAAGGAAATAGTAAACAGAAATGCCATTGAAAGAAGCTGGTTATCTCTCCTGGGAACTGTGTGGTTGGCTTCAGCACACCCTGACTTCCTTTTGCGGGTTTACCGCTCTGCCCTCCCCAAGCCATGCTTCTGGCCTGGGTTCAAGCAGAGACGTATACAGCACTGGGAACAGCCCTACAAATATCTGCTTGGGAACAGGGAGGTTTAAACTTTGAGCATTGACTCCACTCTGAGAGTAGCCCCTGAGCTCCTATGGCCTCTGGCTGGGCACTGTCAATAGAGCCCAAGGGTGGTCTTTCTGAGCCAATATTCTGGCTAACCAGATAGGAAATAGGTCCCAGTGAAGGGTGCTAGAACAGCATTAGTGCCAGACACCTGTTTTGAGCCATTTTTCACCTCTTTGGCTGGACCCTACTATCTGATAACTTCTGTTTTGCATTCAGGGAGCTATAGGATCATAGGTGAACAAATGGCCCTGTTGTTTCTGATGATAGAGTAGCTGGTAAACTTAGGTCTTTACAGGACACACTGGAATTCTCTCCGGTCTAAGGAAATGCCCTCAAGGTCAAAAGTGCTAGGGTAACTAGGGCAGGGAAAGTCCTCACTCACTGGACACAGAGGCTGTTGAACAGGGTAACCATGTAACGACCATGACAAACAGGAGCTACACATTTTCTACAAATAGTACATTTTTGTAGAAAAAAGGTATAGGACCGTCAAAGTGGCGATTGACAACTGTATGCCACGTTCAGTGTCGGGGAGAACAGGGCTGGATGTGCCGGGTTTTCTGCCTTCACGCAACCAGGGCCAAGCTGTTGAAATGGAGCTATTTCATCTCCAAGTGCGTGCT